ATGTGGTGGCCATGAGGTCCACAGCCAGGCTGACTGAGAGTGGTGGGACCTTTTTGTCTAAAGAAGCATAGGATTGCATCCTGAGTGCATTAGTTACTGCTCACCACTACAGCTATCAAATTTTCTCCTAAACCTGTAACAAAGAGGCAATGGCTGATCTCCATTTCTCAAAACATAAAGGCCAGCTGTAATTTGAATCTTCTTCTTACCTTATCTGAAGCACAGTTTCTTGAGTAGGCGGAGGCTAGAAATAAAGGGACAATCACAGTCTTTTACTTTAACAAACCAAAATTCTAGGTAGTGCCCTAGATTTAAAAAAAAAAAAGTAAGCTGGCAATAATCCCCCTTCTCATCTGTCATTTCTATCTTGCAAATGCTCACCTCAGTTTTATGAAACAAGCAAAGAGCTGGGAACCCATGTTTGCCTCATAACATCTAATAGCATCTAAACTAGAATATCTCACAAGGCCATCGCTATAATTCAATATACTCATTGAAACCCCACCTGCCTGTTCTTAATTTTTTTGCCTCTTTCACTGGGGCTTTGAGAATTTCAGAGAAATCTCTTGGGCTGCTAGGCTTCAGTGCTTCCCATAAGGAGGTGGCTGTGTGGGTGAGCTTTCTCTTTCACAATCTTCCCCAGTTTTGTCCTTGTGGCCTCTCCAGCTGCTTGAGTTCCTTGGAAAACCCTGTAGAGAATTTACCCAGGATTTCTCCCCTTGGAGCTTTGCAGTTCTGCCGCCTGCTGAGGGCCTGAAAGCTGTGTGTTTGGGGAATTCTTGTTGCCGTTTTCATTAAAAGGACTTTAAGCAGCGACAAACCAAACCAAGCAGACCTTGCTCAGCCCTCAGGCCATCAGCAGGAAAAAACATTGTGAAGTCCCAAGGACAGGAGTTTATTTATTTATTTAAAACATTTTTATGCCGCCCCCATCACAACGAAGCCTCGGGGCGGCTCACAGCAGGAGTTCTGCTGAGTCCTCAAAAAGCTTGAGTAACCAGAGGGGCTGCAAGTACAGTGTAGGGGGAGATGATAAAATACAGTGTGTGTCCACCCCTCAGTCATGTCTTTATACTAAGATAAGCACTGCAGCCTGATGCCCTGAGAAATTTCTCACTCCTTTCCACAGTTTTCAAATACAGTTTCTTTTCACCTGTCCTCTACCCTAAATAATGTTCCAAAGTAAATAGACTGAAAAATAGCATTGCTAATGTTGACCCTGCAAGCACCACGTTCAGAAGTGGGTATGCAGCATTGATACAGACTTCGCTGTGATTGTGGAAGGAACTAAGCACAGTCCATACCTCACTTTGACTCATTATGCTTTTTAATTGATACTTCTTCCTGTTCGTCATCATCAGTGCCTCCATCTCAAAGTGGCAGTAAAGGGGAAGATCCAAGGCAGGAGTCTGGACTTCTTTCTTCTTGCACTCACCGACCTCTGGAGTGAGTGCAGCCAATAAAAATCAAAACCATGGCTGCTGCATCCAAATGCCAACAAGACAAGAGTACAATCCTAAGATTTAAGATGTTGTAAAAGTTCAGCAAAATCATAAACTGATGGCTAATGAGTCTGCAACCTCTTGTCACCACTTAGTGGAAAACCTCATTAATTCTTTACAAGGATTCTAGTAGAGGGATCACAACAGCACTTTCAAAACTCTGCAGATGACTTCATTGCCTTTGACATTTTTACTTCTTCTGCCCAGGTTTGCTTGCTTGCTTGCTTAAAAAACCCTCCCGTACCAAATGTAAAAGAAAAAATTGAGGCAATATTTATTCTCCTTCCTCTGCTGGTTTTCTCTTTCCCTCAAAGAGAAATTAAGGATGTGGTCCGACAACCTCCCCTTCCAAGGCCCAACATGGAGGTCGCCAACCTCATGCTCAGACTTAAGCAGCCAAGCATCTGCCCCCCCTCAGAGCTGGTATGGAAAGAGCTTCGTTATGCACTGCCTGCCGCTCCAAGAGTGGGAATGTGCCTTGGAGGGGGAGTGTGCCTTGAAAGGGGGTGCTGGGAAAGGGGGGAGAGGCTCAGGCTTTGGTGTCCAATCATCACCTTCCATCAGCTTCCTTCCATCCTGCTCCCTGGTACATTAAGGACAAGTCTCAGCAGTAAATGCCAGGCCACAGGCCTTCTCTTTCTGTGGCATTTTTGCCACTGCTGCTACTGCTTGGGCTGCCCAGGGCCTTTTGCCCACGCCTTCTCCTTACACAGAATGGTATGGAAGCAGCTTCAGCAGAGATACAGAAGCACAGTGTCCATGTTAAGTTACCAGTTCGTGCAAGTGGAATCTCTGTTTGCAATCCCCAGCCAAGCAATGGTGTCTCGCAGCTTCCGGGATTCCTGAGCCTTTGAGGTGGGTCTTGCCATTAAGAATCAGCCATCTCTAAGCATTCCATTCATCAACCCCATCATTTTTGTCCTGGGAGAATCTACACTCAATCCCATTCCATTTGTTCGGGATTGTTGTTGCAATGTGCAGCTCCCTGCACCCTGTCCCAGCTGAGGCTGGAAGTGGATCCCATCGTCCTTTGGTGCCTGAGCACTGTTTGTGCACTGGAAAATCCCTGACAGCCTCCGCAAGTTGCAGTCTGCTTGCAGACATAACTTGATCCTCCTTGCATTGTCCCCAGGATATTGTCTGGAAGAATGAAGGGGAGGGAGGGAGATACACACGATGCACCTGATCATCTCTTAGGCTCATTGGAGGTACATTGCAAAACAACCAACCCACCATTGGAGGGCTTCTTGCCAAGATGGGCAGTTGCGTCGTGCGAAGTCAGGCCCTCTCTCGTAGCACCACTTCCCCCCACCCATCACCCCACTGAAGTCACTTCCCTGAAATGGTTCCACAAGTTTAGCACTCAGAAGCAAATGCAATGCATAAAAGAACTGTGATATAATCAATTAGAAGAATATATTGGAATATAATGGCAGGAATAGTTTGAGAAGGACAGTTTGGATTGTGCAAAGTACAAAGCTCTAGTGTGGGTCTGCCCTGGTTTTTCACACTCATCCCCTTCCCAAATAATCCTCTTGATATCAGAGGTTCTCCTCCATTTTTTATTTCTGCATGTTTCTATCTGTTAATGTAACAACAGCAGCCAGTAAGGACTTTTGCTCGACTGTGTTTGTCCACAACATTTGGTTTAGGAGATTTTCTAAAACTAACAAACATGTTTGCATCGTTGTTATCCAGAGCATTATTTTCCTCAGTATTTGCATATAATCTGTTATATACAAATGCATACTGTCTGTGTGTATGTTGGAAACTGGGGCAGAGGTTGTATGTGAAGAATGCAAACATGAGGAATAAATTGATAGGCGCTCTTGGCTTGAAGCTGATTCTTGAGGAAACCTGCAGTTTTTGAGGCTTGACCAAAGTAAAGCTGTTGTTACATGTGAAACCCCTTTGCCTAGCCCACTATTCTGGGCTTTTACTACAAAAAGGGTTTTTTAAAATCCCCTATATCCTCATATAGCAAGGAAGCAGAGCAGGAACACAGGGGAACACAGCTCCGGTACTGTTTTCACAGCAGAAACAATGAGGTCATCGGCCAAAACAATATCTGTCAGTGTTGCAAGTGAATGGGGAGTTGGAGAACAGATCTGGCCTGGCCCAAGATCCTTTTATTCAGTAGGCGAAGTTCAGGCAGGTTACCCAGGGAATGTACGAGAATTGCCCAAACATTCTTATAACTTAAATAGAAATACAGTACATCTCAGCACAGTGTGGGAGACTGTGATCAGGGGACCTGTTTATCCAGGCTGTCCAAGAGCTGTTGATCAGTGACTCCAAAGCCTAGCTCTTCCTTCTGATGGTTCTCCATCTTTAAGGGACTGGCGGCCTTTCTGTGAAGGACAGTCGCCTGGGCAGGTGCAAATTTGAACATCAGGGCTGATGTGAACCCAGCCCAGCAATCTATACACACAGCCTTTGGATCAACACAGCTGCCTGAATTTTTGAACTTCTTTTGGAGTGGGGACTATGGATCTCTTTGGAATATGTCTGCTGGGAATATCTGCAGTTCTTGAAATTCAGTGTTCATTTACCATGACCCCACTGTAATAATTTGGTTTACATCAGCTTTCCCTGGCCTTGTTTCCCCAAGGTGTTTTTGATATCAGTTCACATCCACCCCAGCCAGGATGGCCAAAGGTCAGAATGCTGGGAGTTGTAGTCCAAAATTTTTAAGGATATCAGGTTGGGAAAGGATGGTTTACATCAAGCCTCTCTATGCTGTGCCCAGAGAAACATAAAGGCCCATTTCGCATGGATTAGAGTCTCCCAAGTGCATGTACCCTTTGAGTGTTGCAGGGAGGGGCATGAATTACGGTTCATGGAGGCAGCAAATACTGAAAGTGCATAGTCCCAGGGAGCGCGCCGTTCCTGTTTGGTGGGCTGCATTTCACATGACATGCGATGAGTTGTGCAGCTCCAGCTTATGCCTGCAGTCCTGAAGTCTGAGATTGCTTTTGTGCATGGCTTCAGGCACCTCTTCCTGGGTGGCCTTTGTGAACCTGAATTCGATGTGATTTGCATGCTTAGGACTTGAAATGTCAGCTTCTGTTCTCCAAATTATGTGAGAATCCATCTCCTGCCCTCCAAGTTTGGAGCTTGGGGTACTGAAGCAAAGACATATGACTGGGATGATGATGATGATGATGATGATGATGATGATGATGATGATATGATAAAATACTGCAGCAAGAGAATGGTGCTGGCCGCTGTCGCATCTTAATGTGTTAAATTTACTTATTGACAATGGAAAGGAGGACTCACTGGGAAGATGCCAGTGTGAGCCAGATGGCCACTGTGGTTATTAAAATAATGCAGGCAGAGAAACCTCCAGGAAAAGAACTATTATGAAATTTACAAGCCTGGTGAAGCTCATATAGCAAAGAAATCTGCATTTTTAAAGAGCATATTTGTCATTTAAAAAATACCAGTGGGTTTGATTCTCTGATATTTAATCTTCATTTTCCCATCTATCCTTAGGTTCAACTAATCCACTATAACCATGAGTTATATACAAATGTTACAGAAGCCGCAAAAAGTCCCAATGGCTTGGTGGTAGTTTCTATATTTATGAAAGTAAGTATAGTACAATTTCATCCGTGCAAAGTCCTGTTCCCTTCAGATAATCTTAAGAAATAAGGAGCATTAGCAGCTGCCAGTTTCTGAATCCTAGAAGCCTTCATGGCTGGCTGCTCACAGTGTGGGGGAAAACTGAAAGGAATCAGTGGGGCTAGCCCCTCCGTGTCAAACTCTAGCATTACAGAAATCCATCTTCATCTTTTTAAAACGACCTCAAGCTTATTATTGATATAGTGCCTGTGCTTTTAGAATAGTCATTGCTTTTGTTATCTCATCATAATTCTCTACCCAGCCCAAACACACACACACACACACACCACCACCACCACAAACACACTTTAAGAAATGGGTTTAAAATTGTTTACTTAGTCTGCACTGTCAAAGTGTTAATTCTTGCAGGGGAGGTGCACATTGTGAAGGTAAATAAGCACTGCATTCCCGTAGCACTGCCCCAGCTGCTTTTCTCCCATGTGGGCTCTCAGAGTTGTGCTGGCTGCAGCAAGGGGGAAAGTGACTGGGAGGAGATGTGGTGAAAACGTGCTGGCTGCTGCAGCTGGCGTCTGGAACCATTCTCCTGCCAGTGGAGAGGTGCCACTTCTGAAATGGGGCTTCCATTTCCTCCCTTGCCCTAGAAGTTTGGGGGCTCCTCTGAAACAGATTTGGAAGACACTAAAGAGGACAACAGAGGGGAGGGGAGGGCACCAAAGTCCCATTCCATGAGCGAAATCACAGAAGAACGGTGGAAGGAGGACTCTGGGATCTAAGCCTTGAGCATCAGCTTTTAGGTCCAAAAACACCATCGGCTGGAGCTGAGCCTTCACATCTCAGGCAATGAATGAAACAGCTGGATGTTTTGTTCCACAAGCACTTCCTTCTTTTATAAGTTCCTTTTACATCAGTGCATACTGTAGGATCATGTGATGCTTTGATCTGTCAGCTAATCCATCTTTGCCCTCCTCCTCTAATAGTTGGGGACGTTGTTCCTTTGAATTAGAAAAGCTCTGGAGGCAAGCATATGAGAGCTTTTCCCCACAACAACAGAAAATAGCCCAGTAAGAAGTTTCTCCATCCCTCACTGGTCAGCACTCAGGATCATAGGATATGAGCAGAACTAAGTGGTATGAAAGTTAATAATGAATCATTCTCCAAATACCACTCAGTTCCGGTCCTGCTCTTCTACAAGTATCAATTTCCTCAAAAGAAAGAAAAGAGCATGGAAGCACAGAAGGGCAGGAGTTGCTGCTTCATGAATTTTGCAGGCTTTCTAAACGCAGAATGCAGTCGTGTACAGAAATACTCCTAGAAACTACTGCTTATATCTTTCTCATGCAGCCCAAACCCAAAAGCCAGAATGTCAAGTGCTGACTAATTCCCACACAAAATTTCCTCTCAGCAGCAGATGATGCCTCGAATCGTGACCACAACATGAAGATTTCTCCAAGTGTCAATGTATACAGAGGCAGTGACTACAGTTCACAAAACAGCTGAAGAAACAGAAGGCAAAGTACAAAGCTCAGCCTATGTCAGAGTATCTGAAAGAACTTCAAAGCACAGTCACAGTGATGAAAGCCCAGACCTGAAAGGGCTGCCGATGCTGTTCTTTTAAAAGAGTGCTTTAAGGCCACGTGTGCTGCAGGGTATTCTCCACATCAGGACTGGAAGAAGGCAGGAGTGGTAGCTCTGTAGCTTGCTTGCAATGAGGCAGGAACAAATGTGTAGAAACCTGGAGCAGAGTAGGGGCACGCTTCTAAATGTTTCAGCCATAAATGACCCTCCGTCCACAGGATACCTAAGGAAAACAGCAGCATAGACAAGTTTCCACCACAAGATGTACACTGATGTGCATCCAACCTGTGGAGAACCACTGGGGCAGACGTGGTCTTAGGTTCAAGTGACATACATGGGTGTGGGTGTGGGTGTGTCTGTGTGAGGATATTTGAGTGAGTCAGCAGCGTGCTCATTCAGGAAGCCCAATCCCAGCAAGGCATGCAGCATCCATAGAGAACACGTGAAATCCTCCTTATTTTCCACACAACTGATGCAGTGAATCAGGTACTGCGCGCAGCCTGTCCTGTGGATCAAAGAGAACTTTTCTCAGACAGAAGTAGATTCACAATTAGTAGTAGTCACCTTTTCTTTTTAAAAGAGCCAAAGCATCTTACAACAAAATTGTTGGCATATACAAAATTTAAAACAGCTAAAAACAATTTCCATTTAAAATATTAAAACATTTTTTAAAAAAACAGCAACAAAGACATCACAAACTATGCTGCTCCCCATATTTTGAGGGTCATTCTGAAAGAGAAAATGAGAATGGCCAAATACCAAGGCAGACTGCAGCCTGGGCAGACAAGCTTCGTTCCTTTCCATGCCACTTTGTGTAGGGCCTTCTTGTTCCAGCCGCCCCTCAGTTAAACACAACAGCAGCCATTTCACTGGACAGCAGCGCTTTTCCCCTAGACTTTTCTCCTCCCAACAAATATATGCACTTTCTCAAAGTAAGAAATCTCTGCTGACTAGTTTTTGACAATGAACTCATTCCTTTACAGGTATCTGAATCATCAAATCCATTTCTAAATCGTATGCTCAACAGAGACACCATAACAAGAATAACATATAAAAGTAAGTTTGTTTGTTTGTTTGTTTTGCTCTGCATGGAAATAGCTACAGAATCGTATTGGGGAGATTATTCAGTAGGCGCCCCTTGTGTTGTGAGGAATGCCTAATGGACAATGGCTGTGGGTGGAGCTCAGGAGTTGCCCTGAAGCAATTGGCCCGTGCGAGATCATGGGATATGCCCAGCCATTTCCAGATGGAAGAATTAAGAAAGCATCTATTTCATTTATCTCAATACTATTAACATGTTTTTCAGCCCAAGCCTTTGAAAGTAGCCATCAATAATTAAAACCACAATCAAAACATTATGGGTTACAGTGCAAGAGAAACTAGAGCTAAAGTAACTGTGCTTTTTAAAAATATGCAAGGTACCACTCATGGGATAAGCACTGGGATGCCCATGTGAATTCAGTATATAATTTCCAGGTCCATAATTGCCTTGAGACTTCTCAAAAGCACTTTGGTGTCACAAAGTGCCCATGATCCTAAATATCAGCTGCACCCCATGGCTCAGTGCAGACATGATGCCACAGCCACTAACGGCTCTTGCAACCCCTTCCTTGTCCCCTTTCTTGCACAAGTTCCTTCTGCGTCTGAGTTGTCTCAACCCCAGTCTCCCATGATGTTAAACCTGCCAAACTGTAGTTAGCACCATGCTTCCTTAGCATGAGCTTACAGCAGGATTTGAAATGGTATTCATGAGGATTATGGAGACTCATTTCACCCATAATTTGCCAGTTCGGGTGTCCTGATAAACGATGGCTAGCAAAAACCAGGAACTCAGGTGGAAAGGGCGCGTACCCACTGGTGGGCTCCTGATAAGCAAGGCAGAAGCTATCAGTGAAGTTTAAGCACATCGGGGTTCTCAGGCCAACATCACATTGTATGCCTTTTGTCCCCACATGGATTTTTGTATGTATTTCTGTGTATATTTTCCCAAATATGTTATTTATTAATTGTTTGCTGTTTACAAAACTATGGATGCTGTTGATGTCCTATTGGATACCAAACTTATTTATATTATGTTATGTTTTTATATGGTCTTTTTTCTTATTGTACACTGTTCAGACAGCCTTATGGCTGATTGAATGGTATATAAAAGCTATTAATTAATAAAACGGTGACCTCAACTAATTTCTCACCCATGCCTAAAATAATTGAATGTGGGAGAAAATGAAACTGACAGACTGACCCATACTTAGCTGTAATACATAGACACATAATGTGTGATTCCCCCTAATAGAAACTAGATTATGTATCTGGCTTTCATTCATGCCAAATAAGCAACTTTTGATTCTCCTGAGTGTGTTCATTGACTGTAAAGTGCATATTCCATCTGATTTGATGGTGGAAGAAAAGAATTTGCAAAAGGTCTGAGCCAAAGGTTGAAATGGGAAATGTGTGACCAAGTTAATAGAATTAGAACATCAGCATTAGAATGCAGTCAAACATGGGTTGTCAAAGATAGTGTCTTTCTGTAGAACAACTATTGATTAGAAGCCTTTTCTGGACAAAAAAGGCAATGCAAAATAAAAAATATTGAAAGTAATTTTACAGTTGTCTTGGATGACAGATTATAGTGTCATTGCTAGAAAAATTAATTTTGTTTCCTGTATTAGAAGGGGTTCTGTGGTGATTTTAAACAGCTGGCTTTCAAGACCTTGAACTTAAAAACTTCCATTTCTACAGTCAGTGTTTACTTTCAGTTCTAGGGAAATCAGAAGTGTCATTCACTTAATAATTACGGCTGGAGCAAAGAGTGTGAAATAGCTTCCATTAAAAAAAGCTAATACATTAATTAAAGCAATGGTTTTAAAAGCATCACAAGAGATACTATACAGAAGATGGATCAGGAAAATTCTGATAGTGTAGTGCCCTCTCAGAATGTCAATGTCGACGTTAGATGAGCGTCTCATTATTTTGCAAGCATTTCCACATTAACTCTAGCACCCCCACATCCAAAAGAAAAAAAGTGAATGCATTAAAATTGCAATGAAAGTAGTAGTAACTGTAATGATCATTCTAAAGAATTATTGCTTTAATATTCAGCTTTTTAAAAGCCAGCAACTGAGGGCCCTTAAGATTCTGAGTTTATCTTTTTAAGTATCTTTGTTTTATTTCCAAGAGCAACACATTCGGTCTTATATGAACTAACACATTTCAGCTAAAGCTAATGTTTTAGGGCCTCTTTGCATATTGGATGTTTATGCACACAGTTAAAATACATGCATGCATATCGTACAAGCATAATTTTTCAAGGACTCACAATTGGTTGTCTCTCCCACTTGAGTGGCAAACCACAGTTTGCTGCCTGATTATGTTTGAAAAGGTCCTGAGTTTACAGTGGGATGTGCAACTGTGAGGGTGGGAGGTGGGGGTCTGAAGGGCATTTTCATCCCCTGGACCACCACCTAACAAGGGCCACGGTGTGCATGTTGCTGTATGGCTCGCCACAGAACTTGGCAGCAAAGCACAACGGACAGCCAAAGGGGACAAACTCGGGTTGTTTCAAGCTTAATGGGGTGCTTTTAGCACTCTGTAGTTCTAAAACCAGTGAGAACAAAACAATCTACTACTGAGTTTGAATTTGATGGGCCACGTGTTTTTCTCCCTGGTTTGCAGTCCAGGGAAATACTGCTGTACTTCCAATTTAGGCTCCATCAAAAGGCCTGGGTCTGAGTATTGTGAAACTACCCATGGTTTCATAGACTTTGCAGAAAAATGAATTAAAGTCCACAGATCCTATGTAGTTTACAGTTGCTCTTATTATATTGCACTTATATCCTGCTTGTCTCCTCTTGGGAGGAGCCTGAAGTGGCTTACATTTTATTCCTACAGTAACGACTCAGTTGGGCTGAGAGTCTGTGACTGGCCCAAGTTACCCAGGAAGCTTCATGGGTGAGTGGGGTGCAGAACCCAGGTCTTCCAGGTCCCCAGGCTGACACTCAAACAAACATGACGCCCTGGCTCTCTCATTCTATATCACAGATAGGACAGGTGCAGGGGGCTATGAAAGCCATTGAGTCCAATCTCCTGCAGGACACCAATTTATACCATCCAGTCACCAGAGGTAGCTTGCCTACATTACCCCAGTTGCTGAGGAGCTTGGGCAGGAGGAGGTCTTCCACCCATCCTGCTTGAGGGATTCTGTGGGCAGCTGGTTTACCACCCTCTGAATGGGATGCTGGACCATTGTTCTGATTCCGCGTGGCTTTCCCTGTGTTCTTACATTCTGGCCCAGATAATGGAAGTGGTGAAGGAGAAATAGGGGATGCCGGGTCCACTTGCCCCCAGGCTCTCTGCCTGTCAAGCAAGCTAGTGAGGAGAAAGACAATGAAAAGCAAAGCAGCTGGTGACCTTGGCAGTGAGAAGGTGAACTCTCTGGGGGCCATTGAGGGTGTGTTGCCTGAAGACCCCCAGAGACTCTGTGCATACCTCTGTGTAGCAGGCATTCCAGTTTAGGTGTGATAGTTATATCTACCCCTTATGGGCACATACTTCGGTTATTTGGCTTTTAAAGTCAACATAGTTCACAATTATCAGAAAAAGCATGATTACCTGCAACTGCGTTGTTCCTTAATAAGATGTATCCATTCCTGCACTGTGTAAGAAGGAAAGAAAGGTTATGATAGGACTGCATAATGCTTTGCACAATAGCTGAGGGAATGCCTCTCACAGTGATACTAAATTTAAAGCCTAAGATGTACACGTTTCTTTATAGTGCATTGTATTTTGGAATTCGAAAGGGCCAAAGCTATCCCGCAGGTTGAGGCACTAATATCTGGTATGCTGGTACACACATCAGAGAGCTGAAAATGTTTTGGGGACGCATGTGCCACGCATGACCTCCTGAACTGCTTTAACTATCAGAACTTTGGTCTTCGCAAATGTACTGATATTTCTCAGTTTAAGAGCTATCAAAGTATTTTAAGCTGTGTGTTTTCAGGAAAAAAATCTGCTTACTTACAAATATGCAAATGCATACTTAAATGCACATATTTGCAAGCTTTCCAATTGTTTTAAATTGAAGTTTGCTATGTACACTGGATGAGGTAAAATTGAGAGTGAACATAGGTGAATGTAACACAGAGCAGAAACAGACTTATTTGTCCATCCTGACAAAATTTGGAAATTCACAAAATCAGTAATACTCAAAATCTTGATTTAGACAGTCAGTATTTGCCTTCAAAATTGGAATTTTGCCTGATTTAGATTACTTCTTGCTTCTACATGATAGTACCTTGAATGAATCCAAAATGTACTAGAACATTACACGGAAATGCAGGAAGACCAAGTGTGCATGATACTGTAACTCTCCCTACTCTTGTTTTAATATGTGGCATGAATCTCGTGGACTTCATTAGGAGTGAGTTTCCACATGGCTTTCTCCGTGCTGTTGGCAGTAACGTTGGCAGGAAAGCAGTAACATGCAGTCACGAGGGTGAGGTATCTTGGGCTACAAGTAGCCACTTAGTCACCTGATGAGATTATCTCCTTTCTTTCTGGAGCAACTTCATCAAAATTTTCCCCGCACCTTTCCAGTGATGTATAAATGTGTTCATTCACTTGCTATGTTGCAGTCCAGCAAGGCTGCTTGTAGCCTTCAGGCTCAGAGGATGATGGGCATCCTGTGCAGGGTGGGAGGATCACTGTGAGTAGAATTCCCATTCATCATGGACAGAGACTAACATTTCCGCCCGCTCTGCAAGCAACTAGGGCCACCGTCCTGGTTGTCTAGCTGCAGCACTATGACCAGGAGTGGAGGAGACTGGGGCTCTGCCAGAATATGTCCTGTCTTGGCGGCAGCAGTCTCCTGCCTTTCCTGCCTCTCAAATGTCCCCAAAACCTCTTCACCCATAAGGCGTTTAGGACCTTGGAGAAGCAGCCAGCACAGCTGCCAGGGGTGAGGGAAGGTCCCTGCAAGCATTGATCTTCAGCTCCAAAGTTGGACCTGTTTCCCAGCCTCAGAGGTGGAGATCAGAATGATCCTGTGGCCATCCACAGGA